ACGTAATACTACATGAGCTACTTTGGGGCTGATTTCAGCGTGTTTTGTCCTATAGACTCAATAGAAAACGCTTTAAAAACGCGTGCTGCGATTATTTGCAAATGCTCAAAAAAGACGCCCGTAATACGCGCTAAATAGGTGTCACTTAGGTGGGAATCCAGCCTTAGGCATGGTTCACACCTGGGCGTTTTACAGCACGTTCCTACGCTCTGTAAAACGCTCAACATGTAAAAACCAATGATTGCCTATGGGCATGGTTCCCACCTGGGCGTTTTACAGTGCGTAGGAAGTACAGGAGCTTCTTTGGGGCATATTTGCCACGCGTATCCATTGGGATAAAGCCAGGTAGCCCTCGGGATGGTGCGTGTGTCGCACGTTTTTTTTACCGCGGATGCGACAAATGCGCATATTCAATGCACCTAGGTGTGAACCCAGCCTTAGGGTTTTACTAAACTGCTCCACCAAACCATTAGTTTGCAGATGATATACTGAAGTCCGCCGATGTTTAATTCAAAACAGTTTACACAGTTCTTTTATTACCTTAGACATGAATGGGGTTCTTTGGTCGGTCAGGATCTTGGAAGGGAGCCCTGTTCTCATGAACATCTAAAACAACGCCCATGTGATAACCTTGGAAGAAGTGTTTCTTAAAGGGACCGCTTCGGGATACCAGGTGGCAAAGTCATGGACAACCAAGATGTATTGGTGTCCCCTAGCCGACTTGATGAAGGGGCCCACTAAGTCCATGGCTATGCTTTCAAAAGGCACTTCAATAACCGAGAGCAGCACCAAATGACTCAGAAAATAGGGTGATGGGGTGTTTTTTTGCCAGGTCGGACAAGACTCACAAAAATCCTTAATTTCCGTGTACACTCCAGGCCAAAAAAACCTTTGTAAAACCGCTTCTGAGTTTTACCTGCCTCAGGATGACCCCGTAGCACATGGACATTCTCTTTAGTTACTCTGTACAGTAGATCCCCATTTACAGCAAAATATGGGAACTGTTCATCCGCCCATAGGTTGTTGGGCTTTACCATTTAACATAGTGACCTGGTCCCTGTCTGGGATAAGAGTGCACCCAGAAAAGACTTCATAGTCAATCAGGAAGCCGGGAGGTGGGTCATGATGTGCCCCCTGCCTTCCTGATAAGCTGGACCCACAGTACCACAGGATGCCGGCATCAGTATTTGGTATCAGCGAGTACTGAATAAAAAATATTGGTACTCGTACTTGATACCCAAAAACTGGTATAGGTGCTTCCCTAATGAAGGGGTGAATTACAGACTAGAAAAGAAAAACAATGATGGTGCACAAAGTAGAGGATACAAACAAATATTAGAAAGAATATCTAAATATCTAGAAAGAAAATACTGAGCACCCAGGCACCTGAATAATAGCAGGTGAGGAGGGATGGTGGAAAATCCCAGACTAACACTACTGGAGAAATAGCTCACCTACCTACACCAAAAGTGAGTGAGAATGAAAACGAAGTAAAGGCAACAGATTAGAATGGGAGCTAGACACCAAGGTGGCCGCCCAGTGGAGGAAGAGCTTGCTCTACAAGTTCCCACTGAGAAAGCCCAGGTGTACACAATGAGAAACCCTTCACACCTTCCTATTTCTCTTTCTGAAACACCCACTGCGCTGTGTAGTGGACTGTTCTCATGTATGACTATGTTTTCACAAGCTTACGATTGCTCTTCCCCAGTTCCCCATTCACAGGGAAAGCTGCGGTCTGTCAGTAGTCAATGGCGCACATTCATCAAAAGGACAGTTAGTAAACATTGCTTTCCATGCCTTATAGTTCTTTGATTTATTGTCCCTCAGGCTATAAAGATGAATGCCTTTTCTGGATGTGAAGTTCTCGGGATAGTATTGTCTTAATTGCACAATGCTTGCTGCTGCCAATTCCTATGCACATGTCTTAACAGCAATGTAGGCTCCATCTTTTACACATCAGCTAGGCCACATCCTTACTTCACCGCTGCATTTTTTTGTACATTTGAAAGCCTCACCATTTTTTTGGTCACCATCTTTTGGTCCTGCTCTGAAGAGGAAAGGCCACAAAACCCAGAACAAGGTTTCTGACAGGGGCAAGGTTAACCCAAGCCCACCTAGCCAAAGCTAGGTACCAGCACCTCCTGTTTTCTCTGGGGTCAAAAGGTGCTCAAACGTGCATAAAATAAGTGCGTAAAGTAAATAAAGTGCCAGTGCACAACCCTGGCAGGCCTTTCAGCCAAGGTAAAAACATTGCCCCATGCTAGCCAAAAGGTCTACCTAAGAGGCGTAGTGGAGAAAAAGTTGGAGTGCCGTGACCAAGAGACGATGAATCGCCCGCCGCAATTTGAGCATTTTGACACTTGTCGGCCGCATGTAAACAGATAGGCCGAGCTAGCGGTGACATAATTGTGGTGACCAGCGCATGCTTTAGAGGGGAGAGAAAGATGCCAGTAGAGAGGGAAAGGTTGAAAATGTGATTGAGAGAGTGTAGGATAGAGTAAGAGAGTGACCGGAGTAGTGGTGAAGGAACAGGGTCCAGGGGGAAAGTGGCGAGGTGGGTGTCAGAGAGAAGCTTTGTAATCCTCTGTGGTGATAGGGCCAAAAGAGGAAAGTAACAAGTGTGATGGTGGATCTGGTACAGTAATAGGGGAAGGTCACTGGATAGTGGTGATCTGATCCTGAATTGTATCTATTTGTTTTTTTAAATGAATGGCAATGTCCTGGGCATTGAGTGAGTTAGTGGGTTGTGACGGTGGGGGACATAGTAGAGAGTTAAAAGCAGAAAAGAGTTGACGAGGTCTGGATGAGAGTGTGTTAATGAGAGTGACAAAATAAGTCTGTTTAGGAGCACAGAGGGAGAATTATATTTTAGGAGGGCAGCTTTATACAGGGTGAAGTCTTGCAGAAGCCTAGTTTTCTGCCACAGTGGCTCAAGAACACTGCTATGTCTTTTTAGATGTCTTGTTTCTTCTTTTGCCATGGTTGTAGTTGATGTGGTCGAAGTCTGCGTGTAGTGAGGGGAGCCAAGGTGTCTAGGGAGGATGAGATCGAGCTGTTGAAGACAGAAGTAGCCAGGTCAGGGCAGGACAGTGGTGAGATTTTATCATAGAGGTAGTCAGTAGCAGAGTAGAGATGAGAAGGATTGAGGTGGCAAAGGTTTCTCTGGGTGACAGTGTGCCATGTAGGGGGATTCAGGGTTGGGGACAGGGTGAGTGTGAAACTGACAAGGTTGTGGTCTGAGAGGGGAAAAGGGGTGTTGGAGAGGTTACAAGCAGTGCATAGGTGAGAGAAAACAAGATCTAGTATGTTACCATCAGAGTGAGTAGGAGTGTGTGTCCATTGTGTTAGATCAAAAGAAGAACTTATGTTAAGAAAGCGAGTGGAAGTCAGGTTGTTAATGTTTAAGACTAGATGGTCAAACTAAGCTTCCTCTCATTAAGGGCTTGTTCACACCATCTCCAGACCAGAAAGTTTTTTTGTCTGGTCCAAAAACACATACCCATCCTTTCCTATGGTAAAAAGTGAGGGTAGTTTACACCACTGTGTTCAGTTTCAGAATGTAAAAAAAAAAAAAAAAGTACTGCGTGCACAATTTTTTATAGTTTGGAACAAACCAAAATGCATGTAAATGCATGCAAATGTACCGGATATCCAATTGAGACTTAAAAAAAGCACCTTAAAACACTTCACATATACACATACCCAATGCCATGGTGCAGCCGAAAAATAAAAAAATTTTGGCTTCCTGGAAAACATCCTGAATTTATTTCTTTTTCTGAATGCAGTCTAGAAGCGTACAAAAAAATGACATAAACTCGTTGGATAAAGAGTGGTAATTGAATAAAATGTAGGCATGTTGTGCTTCCCCAGCAGGGAACAATTCAGCACTATATATATACCCTTCCTGGAGGTTGCAGTCCAAGTGTCTCCAGGTGGGTTTATCACTAGAATGAAAAAAGTGTCACCTCACCTTGTGTGTATTTCAGTGTTCAAAATGCTTAAAAAAGGGTCATATTTCATAATTTCTGTCCCATACATCATGATTGTAGAATCTTCAGGTGGAACAAAAGTGAGCTGCCTGGTACCAAACATGAGGATTTTAACATCTAGTATGGACGAGTTCTGATTGGGTTTTCTTATGGTATTTCTGATTCTGTTAGCCGTAGAGTGCCAGAGTTTGGACTCTGCATATAGCAGAACAATAGCTGGAAGCAGAACCATCACTTTCTGATCCATAATTCATAAGTGGAAAGAGTTATGAGGGTGGAGAGATGGTCAATAGAAGAATTATACCTGAAGACCCAGGTATTAATATTCAGTTTCCAGCCCCTTCCATCTGATTGGCTGGTCTCAGATGGTGGAAACTGGTTTTAATATTCACAGCATAATAATGGAGTTCTAAAACCCAAAAAATTGTCACATTCAAGCGGTCCATTGACATGGGGGTGTGTCCACGCTTTTCTATCTAACCCCGGAAGCAGGATTAAGCATTATCTCTGCAAGTTTTATCCTGTTTTATTTTCATACTGTTTGCTTGTATGTATGTATGCCTCACTTTGTAACATCCTATTTTTCTAACTTTTTGTAACTACCTTTTTTCTATACACTACCCATTTAGGGTTATTAAATATAAAATGAGTAAGCTGGTTTTTGAATGCTCTACACTAGATTGTATGCAAGATTTGCAGCTGCCTGTGTGTGTGTGTCCAGCCAGCTTGAGTCTCCCTCCAGTAGTGACCCGCGGTAGTGCAGGAGACTATGAGTGGAGGTTCCAACTCTAAAGGTACTTGTGCCTGGTTTAGCTAACCTGTACCTGCTAGTGAGAGCAGTGTGTGTGGTCTTCAAAGCCTGTGTGCCTGTCTGCTTGAGGGCAAAGTGTACGGACTAGGAGTGTCCGGGAAAAGGTTCCCCACAAGCCTGTAAGTTGAGGGTGGTGGTGGCGGCTTCGATTAGTAAATTTGTGTGTGTTGTGTTGTACGGCCTTACCCTCACAACTACAGACTGGGAAACGCTCAGGGAGTTCTCGCGATGATCTACCAGTGCGCTGGAAGATCTCCGAGGACAAGAGAAGGACTGCAATAGCCCGCGCTTCGCCCGGTCCTTCTCGCATCCCTGTACCCCCTCGGCGTCCCCTCCCTGACCCGCCGTCCGTGACACCCACGTTTCCAGAAACGTACCCAGATCTGAAGATGGTGTGAACAAGCCCTAACACTCACTGCCCCTAAGCCTTTAACCCTATGGGGGCTGAAGCTAAGTACCTTTAGTGCATGCTCTTATAGAAACCATTGCATGTGCTAGAGAAGTGCAGTGGGTGCATGTGTATGTATGTATGTTGTAGCAGCCTGTATGCCTGTTTTGTATTGCTTTCCTGTAATTAAGTAGTTTGTGTACATAGCATTTTTGTATAGTAAAGTACATCAAATGCTACTTGTGTCAGTTTCCTTGGGCTTTACTATAAGAATCAGGAAACCAATATCTGCAAAAGGTTTGCTTAGCATTACAACAGTACAGGCAGGGTTAATTAGAATAAACATAACTTCACATAGTCGCCTCCTTAACATTACATAGGGATAAGCTAGGTGGGAATTCTAAGCCAGTAAAAAGCACCTAAAAATGGAAGCAGCAATTTTTAAATATTTTTTGAAGTTATTCTATGTGACCGGGAGGGGGCCTCTTTAAGACGGTCGCCGCGGTGATCACACCTCTCTGGCTCCCTCTCTCTCCTCCCGGCCACTGCAGCTTCAGAGCGGCCAGGAAGAGAGAGAGGGAGCACTGACAGGTGTGATCAGAGCCGCCTATCAGCGCCGATATGAAGAACCGAGCAGAGCAGCGGCAGGGATCCTTTTGATGAGGTGAGACGTCTGGCGCCCCAAAAAATAAAAAAGTAACAAATAATAAGGAACAAATTCTAACAAATACAAAAAGTAAGATAAACAAATTATAAAAAGTAAAAGATAATCTGATAAATAAACATTTAAAAAAGTAAAAAAAAAGTAAAATTAAAAAAAGTGATAAAAAAGTTAAAAAAAGAAAATAAATTAGAGGTGCACCAAAAAGGAAATGTTAAAACTGAAACAAAACCGAAATGAAAAATAAAATATCAGGCCGAAACCGAAACAAAATTTATTTTTTCTAACCTTTTTGAAAAAATGTTTGAAGCAGCCGTCTGCACCTTCGCCTGTGTAGGCAAAAATCCTTGCACCGGCCATGCATGTTGGAGCATATTTAAGCAGTTGATAAATGAATGCAAGTGTATACTGGAGGAAGCCCACTGCTCCTTAAAGGTGCAGGGACGTACTGGGGACCCAGCAATCCATATGCACGCTGGGGCCTCCAGTGCGTCCCCCCATCAAACTAGAAATAAATGGTAACTGCACAATTTATAACCAGCACCTTTAAAGAGGAGTGGGCTTCCTCCAGGTACACTTGCATTAGTTTATCAACTGCTTAAATGTGCTCCAATATGGAGCACAAAAATTAGAGTTAGGACCACAGTTCACAGAGGCGCCATAACGGGGGACGGACGAACATATTTTTGGCCAAAGGTTTGTGTAACTAAAACCTCTGCTTTTAATGCATACTGTTAGACAAGGTAATTTGTTTTGTTGCAGCCTAGCTGGCAAGCGTGCAGGGGACTTTTTCTGTGTTTTGTATTAGCTTTTTTTTATATACTCTGCTTTAAGAAAATATATAATTGTTTGAGCGTTTTAAGCTGTTTTCTAGCCAAAAATTCAGATTGAATCATGTGTGTGCAAATAGTAAGAAATTGCCCCGAACAGCAAGTGGTTAAAGCAAAGGAAACCACTGCACAGCATACTCGCACATTAGGGTACACTTACCTTACAAGAGTGCCCTTCTTCAGTGCTGTCGGTTCGATCTTAAGTGCCCTGGTCTGTCCTGTGCCGCCGCCACTTACAGGTTCCCAGGCATCCACTTCGGCCATTGGGTCACCACTAATGATGCAACTCCTGACTGCATCTGCATTCGCCATACAGTGCACACAGATAATTTAAAAAACTAATCACTGAGGGAGAGCAAGGAAGACTTCCCAGATAGCAAGGATAACTAGCTACAAACATGTGGCAGGGTGAAATTGTAATTCTTGTTAACTTGCTGCACACATTGCTGGCAAGTTGCAGACTTGCAGAACACTTGCAGCACAAGTTCTAGTTGACAATTTTTGAATTTGCAGCAAATTTGCTTAGCAAGTCTACAGCAAGAGTCCTGCAGGTCTTAGCAAGAGCTCTGCAAGTGTACAGCACTTCTGCAAAGCACGTTGATCTGGAGACTTGCAATACAGACTTGCTGTAATTGTGCAACGAAATTGTGAAGCTTGGCAAGTCTGCAATAGTTTAGCAAGTCATTTTCAAACTTGCAGCTCAATTGCTTGCTATCTGGGTTTGCATCTCTCTTTTGCCATAAATCCATAACTCCCAGCAATTTTTTATTTGTATTTTACTTTCACTTCAAAGGAGAACTATTGGGAGTGTAAAATGTAGGAATGCACCAATACCGTTTTTTCCAGAACGAGTACCAATACTTTTCCTCAAGTACTCGCTGATACCAATTATCGATACCTTTTTAGAGGTGCACGGAAATGAGATTATCTGACTCAAATCGAAAAAATTTCAGGCTGGAATCGAAAATTATTATTTTTTCTAATCTTTTTACTTTTTAAAAATTAGTTTTGTTTTTTTTGGAAACCTTTTAACCACTTGAAGTCCGCGGTGTTACACCGCCTTCCTGGCCAGGCCATTTTTCAGTGTTCAGCACTGCAGTACTTTGACTGACATTTATTCCGTCATGCAACGCTGTACTGAAATGAATTTTATACCATTTTTTTGGGTAACGTAGAGCTTTCTTTTGGTGGTATTTAATCAATACTGGGGGGTTTTTTTCTACTAAATTAAAGGAGAACTATGGGGTTAGGGCTTTTCCCCATAGTTCTCTAAAGGGCACAAGCTAGCGTCTGAGACGCCGCAGCTGAAACGGATCCCGACAATTATGTCTGTATCCGCCCAGCTGCGTGAGTGACAGCTGGCTCTGCCTGTCTAGAGGCAGAGCCAGCTGTACCCGCCCCCTCCCCTGTCCGTTCTGCCAGCCAGCGCTGGAGGATAGGACAGGGGAGGGGGGAATCCAGCCACTTACCAATTTTTTACTACCCAATTTTTCTGGGAAATATAAAAGACGGGGTCACGTCGGGTAAATAGACACCAAACATGTCAAGCTTAAAATTGCATGCGCCCTCGAAACCGCAAAAGACTACAATAGCCAAGATTGGCCATAGACGACGCTTTAAAAGCTTTTTCTGCTCATCAGTTTAGTGTTATCAGTGACTAATGGCCCTAAAATTATTGCTCGCACTCTGACATTCGCAGTGATATGTAACATGTGAAGCGAAATTGTTGTATTTACGTTTATATGTGCCATATGCACCAATATCATCGCTTAGTATCGGGACATTTTCACGTACTCCTGAAAATGCCCTGTATCGGCACCGATACCTGTGCATCCCTAGTAAAATGTACTCTTCCCAATAGTTTAAGTCAGCATGTGACACTGCAGCTGTCACATGCTGCCTCTCTAGCTTGAGAACTGAGCAATCACAAACCGCTGATTGCTCACTTCATGGCTTCTCCCTCCCTGCTGGGATTCTTCCCTCCCCTCTGTTTATTCCTCCAGTGCTCTTTGGAGGGACAGACAGGGGAGGGGGTAGGCACAGCAGGATTTGGCTCTAGAGAGGCACAGCTAGCTGTCAATCAGGCAGTAGGGCGGATCCTGACAACATTGTTAGGATCAGGCCTTGTTCACACCAAATGCAGAGCAGATCCGCTCAGGTTTCTGCACACGCAGTGCAGTGGGTTGTGCCGCGTTTTTGATGCGTTCCGGGACGTTTTTGGTTAAAAAAAACAATCGTTTTTTTTTTGTTTACTGTGGGTTTTTAGTGCGTTCCAGGCATTTGCATGCGTTTTTGATGCGTTTGCATGCGTTCCAGAGCAGGTAAAATAGGGCTTGCTGCAGTTCTCACCTGCTCTGGAACTGCACGCTGCAATGTGAACTGGTGCAAAAAATACCATTGGAATACATTGGATGCAGTTTTGATCCGGTCCGCAACTGCTCTGCACCTGCTCAGGGCTTGGTGTGAACAAGGCCTCAGGGATGCACTGATAGCAGTTTTTCGGTATCTAGTAGTTTTTTCTCTGTACCCGCCAATACCGAATACCAATACCGGAAGTCCCATTAAGGAAGCCGGGCGGCGTGTAATGACTCGCCACCTGGCTTCCTGGTTAGCTGGGCGGCGTGTAAAAACTCGCCACCCGGCTTCCCAATTAGCAGGGAAGCCGTCTCCATGCTTCTTGTCACGAGGGAGAATAAAGGCGGCTTCCCGGCCAATCAGAAAGCCGGGCAGCGAGACAAGTGACGAGTGAGCATGGAGCCGGCTTCCCGGAAGCTAATACCGGAAGCTCAAGTATCGGAGCATTTGGGGAGTACTTGCCCAAATACTCGCCATCGTCAGATACTAGTACTGGTATATTCCTAGTTAGGATCTTTCCTGGCTGCAGTGTTGTTCTGTGCTGTCAGTAGCCCACGGTATGCTGACTTTGGGTCACAGGAGTACATTAGTATCTGCACTCCTGTGACCCAAAAGAGAACTATAGCTAAAAAAAAGTGATACTATAGAATATCTAAGATTTATTTTGTTTCTGAAAAACAAGCTGCTACTCCCACTGGGAAATTAATGTCTGCTGGATAAAAGGAAAAATCAGGTGACGCACTCATAGCTACCTGAAAAAGCAATGATACTGTCACCTGTATACTACCATAACTGTGAATGGAAGGGTTAATACTGGCACCAAGCGTGGATGTTATCCACTCAACCATGCATTATCCAGTCACGTTAGAAGACATTGCTTCTGGACAGCTGACATTAGGAAGTTAGGCTTATGCGCAGTTGATATACACTGCCACCTAGAAGTTACTTTGCAGTGTCCGTGCGTGTGACGCGCTTGATCTAGGCCGCACTGCAGTCAATGCCAAAGATCGGGAACGTACTAATGAAAGGAAGGGAGCGAGTTGCGCGTGCGCCATCTGCGGCAGGTGCCTGAGATACGCATGCGGGAGCGAGCACGTAACTCCATCTCGTCTTCCATGTAACACCGGTGCCTCCGCTGCATCTACCACTTTACTTTGACGCTGTATTTGTATTTTACATAGCTGTCAAACGGCCATTGTCACGTCAGCGTTATGTCGTTACCAGATGCGGTTGCGGCTGATGTCTCAGAGGTGTCAGACAGATTCTCCTTTATGGCTGCTGTCAGCAAGACCCCGAAGAAGGTAATGACGTCATTGACACTTACACCACACCCCCTCTCTGTCTCACGTTTTCATGCTTGTTGGCTAGTAGCTGTCATGTCAGACTGCGAGGTAGTAGGCTAATGTAACCACAATTGCATGTACCCTAGAAAGGAGAGGTAGTCAGAGTGCAGCCCTCCAGCTGTTGTGCAATTACAAATCCCATTGCAAGACTCTGACAGTCACAGACATGATTTGTAGTCACCACAGCTGGAGAGCTTGAGCTTGCCTACCCCTGCTATAAAGAGTCAATATGGTGATGAGTGATGGTTGTGTGCTACAGTGCACAGATCAACCTCACACAGGGATAACCATCTTCCATCTGGTAGTCTTGGTGCAAACCCAGTTCACCTAAGCTTGCACAAAAACTGTGACTGTCACCCCCCCCTGTTACCCCCTCCTCCCGGTCCAATCAGTTGCGGAGTGGCAAATTCCCCTGCCCCTGATTGGGCCGGGAGAAGGGGGCAGCAGTTCCAGTTTTTGAGTATGCTTAGTGAACTGGGTTCACAGCAAGGCCAGGCTCATCTCTACCATCCAGTTTTCTGGGAATTGCTGCTGTGACTGGTTAGGGCTCCTACACATGGGTGCGGAAAATGCTGCATTCAGATCAGTACAGTGTATAGGTTTGTTTTGTTTTGTTTTTTTTAACCACTTCTAACGGGTTCACGTAAATACACGTCATCTGCTGGAAGTGGTTATACCACAAACACGGCTGCTAATGCTGCTACAGCCTTGTTTTTGGTACCGTTTTAAACAGCAGACAATTGCTGTTTTAAATACAACCAATCTGGCGCCGGATCACTTGTACAGTGCAACACTGTGTCCACCCCTCACAACCCCGCCGCCGGCTTCCCAGGCTCCGCTGTCCCCCATGCGAGCCCGGGATCGGCACAAAGGGTCTTCCGTGATGGATCGGAGGGAAATCAGCAGGCTTCCAGCCTCTGATCTCTCCTCCCATCACTGGAGCCGGAAGTCATGTGTATTACATCACTTCCATTGTGTCTGGGCACATTCTCCGGCTCCTAGAGCCAGAAGAAGAAGCTGGTGAAGCAGATCTCTGCTTCATCAGCTTCTTTGGGGTCCCTAGGTGACATTAGGGGTCTGAAAGACCCATGATGTCTCCATAAAGAGGACCTGTCACATTATCTTTGCTATTACATAGGGGGCTTGTTAGCTTCCTATGTGATAGCAATAAAGTTGAGTGTAAAAAAAATTGTAAAATTTAAACTAACAGAAAAAAGAAATAAATGCAAAAACATTTTTTTAAAGTCTCCCATGTGCACGCACATAAAGAGCAAACACGCGTCGGATGTGCAATTAAAATTGCACCACACATGTTACATATCGTTGCGAGTGTCAGAGTGAGAGCAATAATTCTAGGCCCATCAATCACTGTTGACACTAAACTGATGAGCCGTAAAAGCATTTAATGCGTCGCCCATGGGAAATTTTGGTTGTTATAGTTTTTTGCAGTTTCCACGGACGCACGCAATTTTAAGGCATGACATGTTTGGTATCTTTTTACCCGGCATGAGCTCATCTCTTATATTTTACCAAGAAATGGGTATTATATTCTGTTTCTGTGCACTAAATTTAATTTCTAGTGTATTTTATCTTAAAAATACTTGTTTGATAAGCATTTGCGCAAATACCGTGCGACATAAAAAATTGCAACTAGCATCTTTTTATTCTACAGAGCCTCTGCTTTCAGAAAATATATTGTTTGGGGGTCTGAAGCTGTTTTCTAGCCACAAATTCAGATTTTATCATGTGTGCGCAAATGTAAGAAATGGCTCTGGGCAGCAAGTGGTTAACACTTGAAGCTGTTTTCTAGCCACATTCAGATTTTATCATGTGTGCGCAAATGTAAGAAATGGCTCTGGGCAGCAAGTGGTTAACAGACATGAACACAGCAGTATTGTATAATATTCTCTCATGCACACAGCTGCTCGGTAATCTCGGACTGTGTTCAGCAGCGTAAAATCAAAGTAGAACATTCTGCGTTAGTATTTCTGCTTAATTTACAGGAGTATGCATAAAACGCGTAGAACTTAGCAAGTGAAAACTGAGCGAAAGGAATGGAAGGATCATCTTATGGAGGTGGTTTATTGATGTTTATGCGTTTAAACGTGTGTCAGTGGAAGCACTTTATTTTTATCGTTTACACAGCGTTTTACATAGTTGCACATTCACATCAGTCCCTGCCCTCTAGGAGTTTAGAACCTAAGGCCCCTATTTCACATGCATACATAGACATACTAGGGCCGATTTTGACAGGAGCCGGTTAACGTCTTTGGTGTACGGACCTTTACGTGCTGGAGCTTTCTGCAAGCAAGATCCTGGGTAGATCCCACTATTTTATTATGTCTGGGTGCATGAGCCCTGTTTCCCCAAAAGCTAGTAGCTTCAGACTGCACATTCTTGCTAGATTAATTAAAGCAGGCTTGTCATACTCAGAAGAAGCTTTGGCCTGAACTAGGGATGTCCCGAAATCGGAATCGGGAACGATACAGGGCATTTTGAGAGCAGAGGAGTGTTGCGTCACTGCTGTGGGCGGAGCTCCACGTGGGGTCCTAATGTAGGCGGCCCGGCAACTGCCCAGAGGACTCCACCTGGAGCTCCACCCACAGCAGTGACGCAACGCTCCTCCGCTCAGCCTGCCCAGAGGACTCCACCTGGAGCTCCGCCCACAGCAGTGATGCAACGCTCCTCCGCTCAGCCTGCCCAGAGGACTCCACCTGGAGCTCCGCCCACAGCAGTGACGCGACGCTCAGCGCCGCCGACGTCCTCCTCACATGAGAGGGGAAAAAAATTGGCACTTCGTGAAGCACCTCCATTGAACAGGCACCAGTTAGTGAGGGCTTGATTCTGTATATGAAATAACAAAGCTGGAACTATGCAAGTTGATTGATTTCTTCTCGTCAATCAAGCTAATATTTAAGGTATTTTTTATTTCTATTTTCACTTATTGTTTTTTTTTAGAAGAGAAGTGAAAGTATTTGTTGCAGTTAAATGCTCCTACTTCTGGGTTTCTGTCTGAACAAGTTTGAATGTAAACTTCTAATAGTGGACACAGAAACAAGTACCATGAATGATAGTGGAGTTTCAAACTTCCATTCTGTTTATATGCAGATATAACTTTTCTTGACTCTGCTAGGAACTAAGATCATGCTATGAACAAAAGGATACGATGCTTGTTGGCATCAGTTGCTGATGTGGGTGAAAAATTAAACTGAAAGACTTTCATCTGTGAATAATCATATCAGGATTTTAACATGCAAAAGGTGCAGGCAGTGACACCACTAGCCCCGGGCACCTGGAATGCATTTCCCAGGTCTCCTAGGCAGTGCTTCATTTCTCAGCTAGCAAAAAAAACTTTCACTCAACTCTACTCTCTACACCCTCACTTCTCCGCATTACTACTTGTATTGGTGTGGTCCACCAAACTGAAAAACACTGCAGACAGCTAAATGTTTCTACCATCTTGATTCAAATCTTTTCCTTGAAACAACAGTTTGCACATTTTCCTCAAGTTATGAGAAGTGAATTGTTGGTCCTGACCTGATTCCTGTAGATGGTTCTATAGTACATTTCCTGGCACTAGAGAAAATGTCCTTGCTTGAAGGACAGAGAGGTAATTGTAGTGCTGCTGCCTGCCCTGCAATTCTGCAAAATGAATTCATCATTCTGATTTGTACCACAAAACACAAACACTTCATGTTAGCAGTGGAGAATTGTAACTCTATTACTGCAGTGTACTGGAAGTGTGTACCAGGTTAAATGATCATAGTACACACTTCCAGTACACTGCGGTTATTATTATTATTATTATTATTATATAGTATTTATATAGCGCCAACAGTTTGCGCAGCGCTTTACAATGTAGGGAAGACACAATGGTCAAGACGAGAGGTAACAAGGGAGTAGATGAGTAGTTTTGCGGTGTCATTGGTGAGGAAGGGGTGTATTTTGGAGATGTTACGAAGGTTAAGGCGGCAGGATTTGGATAGTGATTGGATGTGGGGAAGAAAGGTGAGGTCCGAGTAAAGGATGACACCTAGGACCTTGGCATTGGAGGAGGGGTGGATAGTTGTGTTATCAATCTCAACTGAAATGTTGGGGAAGGTGCACGGGTAGGAGGAAATATCAAGAGCTCAGTTTTTGAAAGATTGAGTTTTAAGAAATGTTGTGACATTCAGATGGATATGTCGGATAGTAGATAGAGTAATAGAGTTACAATTCTCCCCTGCTAACATGAATAGGTTAAATGATCCCAGAGGCAGAATTATGTCTGGATCCGCCCAGCTGCGTGACTGACAGCTGGCTCTGCCTATCTAGAGGCAGAGTCAGCTGTACCCGCCCCCTCCCCCGTCCGTTCCGCCAGTCAGCGCTGGCGGAGCGGGGAATCCAGCCCCTCCCCTGTCACGGCAGAGAGCCGTGACAGGATCGAGAGGTGAGCGAACGCCGGTATGTGTTCGCTCACCTCCCGCTCTACTAAGCCAACCTAATGTCACCTAGGGACCCCCAGAGAAGCTGAGTGACAGCAGAATGCAGAAGTGATATAATATACATCACTTCCTGCATTCAGGGATGGAGAGGGGATCAGAGGGAGATTGTGTACTGAACTCCCTTTGATCTCCTGTCACAGAGCAGCCGTGCGGGTCCCAGCTGCACCGGGCACAGCGGGTCTCGGGGCCGGCAACGACAGGGACAGCTGCAGCTAATACAAACGATCAGGCGTCTCTAGAGACGCCCGATCGCTTGAATGTAAAGATCCCGGCCGGCCGTTTAATTACAGCGACCGGACGGGAAGCTACTCGTCGGGCTCTGCCGTCCTCTGGTCACACATGATTTTCAAGCTATATATATCTATTAGGCATGCACCGATACCGATACTAGTATTGATATCGGTGCCGATACCGAGTATTTGGGCGAGTACTCTTACTCGACCAAATGCTCCGATGCCTACCACGAGCACTTCC